AGTCTGGGTGGGTCTGCAATGTATTAGTTGGGTTGGAGGACTTGTTTGGGAAATTTGAAGGGGTTTTCGCCAGAAAAGAGGGGGCTTTGCTAAAAAAAGGGGTTCTCCCGAACCATAAAAATCCCCCATGGGCCTGATATTTCACCTAATTGAATCTATTATCACTTAACATAATAATTTCCACTTAGTTTTTTTTTCTTATGAATATCATTTCCTGTTGGGACCATTCATAATGTCATTATACATCATTTCAAGGGAGCTACATCAAAAGTATTACTTTACCTTTGACAGCGCTAACTGTCATTTTATATTAATCAATTTAAGACATCAATACAAAAACAAAACTTATACAAAAAAGAGGGGGGTTTGCTAGAAAAGGGGGGTTCTCCCGAACCATAACCCCCCCCCCGCCCCCTGGATACGGGCCTGTGCACTGTTAAGTGTTATTATCTGAATTCAAATTCCGGGTATACCGATTAAGTATATGACTAACGTAATATTTCGAAGCTAAATAATAATAATAATAATAATAATAATAATAATAATAATAATAATAATAATAATAATAATAATAATATTTTTAAAGTACATATTGGGCCTACAAATAATGAAGCAAGCCGAAGACATAATAAAGTATGAGGCGCCAAGTGCAAATGTATTATTTAACACAATTATTTATATATAATTAATAATTGTGTTAAATAATAAATTTACACTTGGCGCCTCATAATAAAGTGCGTGTGCACGACGAGTGAACTTTCCCAGAGTAAAAGGCTCGAAGGAAATGACAAAGATGGATCACAGAATGAAGATAAAACGTTTTATTCACGTACAGTAAGAAAAAATGAAGATATTTACGGTCTGGCAGGAAGAAATCTAATAGTTTCATTAATTGATCGCGTGGCGGCTTGAAGAGTCCAATCGAGGAAAAACAGCAAGTCAATTCACCGAGTTACAATACTAAATATCATCTTTTGAACAGCTCAAGGAAGACAGAAAATGCTAATAACTAAAGCAATTCAATGCTTTGTTGAAAGTTAAAAATATTTCCATACTCAATATCACGAAAGACGAGAAGCAAGGAAACCCATACAGTAATTCTCTCTACAAGCGAACTAATAAATACATGTATAGGCCTACCAATAAACAACAATACATCTTGTGAAATATCTACAGTGCATCTACAGTAATACAGTATTATCACAATTATAGATTTCTTGTTTTGTGTTTCCCGGCTTCGGATAGATGTGTCTGGACTTAGGAGGCCAATGATAGTTTTAATGGTTACCAAGGATCTGGGTGAATTAGTTTTCCATTGCATAAATAATTTTTTTTTTTCTTTTCTTTTTTTTTTTTTGCTTCTTTGTTTTAAATAATGTTCGTGTATTTTATAATTTGTGTTAAATTTTCAAGTGATGTATGTAAAGTATAATTTTTCATTGTAACTTCAACGATCTGTCGACGTTGTGATGCCCGTATTTGATGCATCGGCATAATTCATATTTCATAATTGTTTTCGTACTAAGACTGGCGTGCTACATTTAAAGCCAAACAAGATTTTGATCCGGATACAATAGAAGTGCAATAAAGAACCGTTTACCAGTGAGTTTGAGAAATTACACAGAGTGATCTTGGTAAGTGGTAAAATATGGAGAAAACGGGATATGACACGGTCTGATATGATAATTTTTATTTGTCACGGAAGATCGTAACGGTCAGTACGTTTAATATTCGTTACACTCAAGGACAAATTGACTGCTATCGGAGACGTGCTTTACATAAAATTATGGACAATTGTATTCCAAAGTAAGAGACGGGAAAAACAATTAAGCCTACAATTAAGTTCATTAATACTAATAGGCGTATGCATAAACCGGTAGTAAATTAACTAAATAGAAAGGATACTGCGCAAAGGAAAGCATGTATATTAGTTATAGAGTATTTTTCGTTTACACAAAGCCGAATTGGATTATAAATTTCCATAGGCCTACAATTGCAAGACATTCCTAGTTATATCATTATAATAGGCCTACAGTTCTAATTATTATACCGGTAACTACGCTACAGTAAAGTTATAATATTATAGCGGCAGGCCTATTATAATATTATAACTACTGTATACACGGTTATAGTTATAATATTATAATAAAGGCCTACCGTTACTGTATGGCATTATTACGTGGATCATCTATCTATCACATAGAGTTGAACATTTCTAGAAATATTAAGTTATATGCAAGTCTTATATTGTATAGTAATAATACACCGGTAGTGAATTAACGTGAAGAGGTCGTAGCCGTGTCAACATCTAGAAAGCAAGCATCATAGGGCAGGGGTTATGGGAATGTTCCATTACTTATGTGTCAATTCGTTCATTAAGACTGAGAGATTATATTCTTCACCGCAACAACCGCTCCCTTCATTTCATATTCAAATACAGTGTGTATGAGAATCATGTATTATTAGAGGCAAATTTGCTGTAATTCAACTATATATCACGAATATTATTCATAATTTCAAGGTGTGTTTAATTGAACAAAAGACATTTATGATCATACATACTGATAACAGTATGGTGTATAAGTTAAACGCCACAGTACGATTTATCGCCCTTGTCGGATTTAGGCCTATCAGACAAGCGAGTCAGACCTACGACTATATTTTTAGATTCTATATACAATTACATAATAATAATAATAATAATAATAATAATAATATGCCAGTATTTTTGCAGGCCTAATACACGTTGCATAATTCATACTTGTATAAATTGGAACTTGCAAATTCCATATTGATATTCATCAGTTCCGATATATTGGACTTTCCCCTACCGTTTATAGCTATCATTATGGCGGTATTCGACAATTGGATCAATCAGTGCTATTAATTATTCTGCCCGTCACAAGGTAAAGATGAGCACGCAGACTATCAGATCAGGTTCATTATGATAATAATAGATACTGCGCGCTTGAGTATATTGTGAATCATTGGCTTCCCACCTGACGATCGATCATGTCATGCAATGTTGTATAATATATCTGAATATATATACACACGATGCAATAATTATGAATACACATCCATGGCATTGATTCATGAAAATCTAGCGTTCGCAGACATGATCATCGTCATTTCCGTAAAAGATGGCCTAACGGTGTGCGTGATAAGCTTACGACAACGTGACAGGAATGCGACAGGTAGCAAGAAAGGTGTTTCATATTGCGGCAAACAGGACTGAAATTTCGTGGATAGAGAATTACTATTAGGGAATTAATACGCTAGTGTCTAAAATAACAAATATTATGTTCATTAAATTTTAGATTGCACGTCATTTTGTAAAGTACGATGCACTCGAACGTTGATTATTATATAGGCCCCTAAGCATTTTCAGTGGCGCATCCAATAGTTTTTTATGAAGGGCGTGAGTGGCAATCGGGGTCTAGATGTGTATAAGAGACAGACCATGGTCAGAGGGGAGGGACCTATGGTGGGGTGAGCTTGTCTTGTTTAATGCCATGAGGGATGAAAAACCTCCTTTCCACTGGCGTCGACACGGCGAGGACATACCGTGTGGTCCAATAGGGGTTCAAGCATCGCAAAGATGTAGGTTTACATGAGTCACCCCCTGATAAGAACAGAGTGGGTCATAGAGTAGGACTACCCTCGACGGTTTACACAGTAGGCCTATTAACAATATAATGGATACTGATGTGACAGAATCGAAAAACGGCACAGGACTTGAACTTAAACGTTCAAGAATTATTATTAATGACACTTTTAATGTACGGTAATGTCTGCCATTCTGTGGTATTCACTCAATTCGTGAATTATCGTCTGTGATCATGGCCTGTGCTGTAAGCATTGCAGACGATTAAAAAATACCGGTAAATATCGCAGATTTTGGGGCGCACTACTAGGAAATTTCGTAAAACCTCTGTAATTTTTTGGAACAGACTCAGACTACTGTCGTAATTTACTAGATATCTTGCCAACTCATTCCATTGAAATGAAATGGGTGTGAGCATCAGTTCGTGCGTATTTCCTACACCACAGAACAAGTAATTACAAATTCCGGGACGAAAAGTGCATAATACTGTATGGCAAAACGTTAATACGTAATTATTACTGTACATGTTCCATCTCCATTGTTAGTGCATGCGCAGTACAATAATTGGTTTTGCACACAAACAAACCCATAATGACATTGGTAAAAAAATAATGATTCTATGAAAGATGACGTTTAAAATGAAATTGAGAACAACTCGAACGAGTTATACACTATATACACTGTCACTTCCGTTGTTCGTTAGGCATGAAAAGACACACCGAATATGGGGGCGGATTCGCAAGAACGGTATAAATAAAGTTTGACTATAATACATTATGAATATTTGGAGACATATTGTAGGACAGTAGCAATGAAAAAGACAGTCCTACATAGACAGTTCTCTAGCAGAACTTCATGAACGAGCGATAATGTTATCAATCATTGGTTTAAGCCAGTTATAAACATTTTGAGCTGGTACAGAATTTTCATTCAGTAAAATGTCAGTAACAAAAGAAATACTACGAATTAAGATGGTTCCGAATGAGTCATAGATTTTTTTTCTTCACAATTCAATTCAATTCGATAGTGTCCCGTCAAAAATCTCATAAGACCTACCGGTACATTTATTAAACGTATTTGTTATTCATTCGCTGATCAATGGACTCAGAATTATATTCAATGATGATATCTGTAAAATAGAATTATTAGGAAGCCTAGAGAACATTTATGTAATAAAATTCGAAGCCCATTTGATCAGCCAACAAAAATAAAATTTTAATTACTGTGTGTAGCCTATAATGAACAACGTCTGCCAGTTATACGGGAAAAGAACGTACACGAGGTCCTGAACTTTGTTTGTCTGGCAGCTCTATATTAAAAATAACTTTAGACACAATGAAGAATTGATATACACGTCAATAATGTAAGTTAACTGACAACAATAAAATCTTACCATTTCATCCAGTGACATGAGGTCCTGTTTAGTCATTAAAACCCGTGGCTTCGGTGGGGGTTCCTGTCTCACTTGTCTCGGTTTTGGTTCTTGTTCTGGTTCAGATTCGACGTCCGCATCGTCTGCGGCGTCCGAAGACTCTCCATTGACTTCGGACGCGATCTCTCTGTCTATCTCCTGCTCCAATTGTATGAGCATTGGTACCAACATCCCGAACCTGGCGCCCTTTCGGGCTACTTCCAAAAGACATAGAATAAAACTCCTAATATTTTTACGCATAACTAGATCATCTGTTTCAAAAAGAAGCACATCGTGGACGCCCAGGGAGTGCCGACACCAGTAGATGAAGTTGCTTATATTATCCCTTGCAACAAACGTTCCGGGCTGGGCATTCCCACGATATTTCACCTCTTCAGAGGGGATCCGAATCTGGTCTGAGCACCCATTTTTGTTTGTTAATTGTATATCTTTCCATGCTACCGCCTGCTTCTTGATACTGTTCGCATGCTGGCAGAGTACGATACCAGTCTCGAGTTTTTCGACGAAATTCTCTGGTTGAATATCGATACTGTATAGATTATCTAGCCATTCGGCCAAATCCTCTTTCATAGCAAAGAGGTACTCGTCACGTGATTTGTAAGACCGTATCGGGACATGTTCCCAAGTGTTGCTTAGTCGACGCTCACTCGTGTCTTCAGGCCCTGGCCTCATGTCGACCATTTTTTGCTTAGCCGACTAGCCAGAAATATATTATCTCCTTGTCAAGTCTTCGAACTCAATGAGAAGTTTACATAAAAAGCACAACTGTTTGGTATGAAACACTTCCTCAGGTTAATCTCGGAGGTGGTTGAATGACGACAGGAAAAGCTAACCGGTATTCTCTCCATACATACGCACTTCCCCACGACTATTGTCAGTCGCTTCACATTCACTGCGTAAAGAAAAAGAGAGATTTCTGCAGGAATTTCAATTGTGGTTACTATACAAAAATACAACCAAAACAGATATTTTTTTTAACAAAGAGGAGCGATCTACTGAGTGGATCTCTCGAAATGGATCTAAGAACTGGAAGCAGTAACCGTGACTGGGCCAGTGATGCGTGACAGAGGAAAACGTTACTGCTCTATAAATAAAGCCCAAGGCATGCTAATAATTAGCTTTACTAGCCGTCTACCGTTGACTTTTTGTCTTTAAAACAAAGGGTAAAACCCCGAAAGCTAGCATCTTTTGTCTCCTTTGACTAAAACTATCATTTACCTTCTCTCTATTTAAAGGATAACTTTCGTTAGTTAATCCTCTTAAAGTTGAGTTCAATGTTGACTAGGGGGTCGCCTTCGGGCAAAGTTGCCATGGTGACGCATGACTGCATTCTTAAAGGTTCTTGCGATTTCGGAGATGAACAAGTGCTTAATGCTCCGCGAATCGAGGTGAGCATTTAACCCGACCCTGACCGAATGTTCAAATTCAAGGCGTTAGCAACAACGTTTACAGTTTTGCGTTATAAATGGATGGGTACCATCTTATAATACGTACCATCTCATCAAATAATGCGTTGTTACCACTGTTTATTGGGATGGGTTGCCAGGCAATGAATGAATAGGCCTACCCGTTAAATAATATCCAAGTCGGAGAATAATATGATAGAAGGAGAATAGAAAGCCTTCACATCTAGGTTTGTAAACCATATTAGTGTCTGCGCATTAAACTATTTTATTTATATAATACGTACAGTATAGGATGGATGTGTTTAAACAAACATTATGATTAAACAGCCTATTATAAAATACTTAACTCATTCCCTGCCGTTTAAGTCAGCCATATACACGTCATGTGTAAATGGGACCGCCCACTACCATTAAAAAAAATAACAAACTATTAAATTAAATCATCTATTGTTTATTAGTTGCCACGAGAGTAGACATTGTAATTAACCCTGTTTTTTTTATAAAAGGGGATTTGTTTTTTACAAATGTTATCATCTTGAATTAAATAATTCAAGTACACAACACAGAAAATATATTTTAAATAACGTAAATACATGTGATACCACGAACACAGCCTCTCCCGGCAGGTAGGCCGTCTTAATAAATATTGATAGGCCTATTATCATTAAAGTCGGCTAGAACAGTTAATGCTGCAATGTGTTAATGGGTGGGTAGATCAATTGTTAATCCAGATATCGAGTAGGCCTATAGGTCTTAACCCGGAGAGTAAATAAAAACACACATTCTTCGTAAAAATACATTGGTAGACTCGGTAACGGCCTATCACAATTGTAATTAATAATACAATTAAGTAGAAATATATTTTTCGAGGAAAATAATACACGAGATAAATAATTCAGAGAAACATAATAGTAACCGCAGGCCGCTGCCATGCAAGACAATATCAATAGGCATCGTTTTATTTAAAAAGAATTCAAAAAATACATGATACTTTTATTTATTATATTTATAATTATGAATATTTATGAGACGATATCAAGGACGGACGAAAGAATAGTACCTACCAGAGTTCCAGTATTATTCGGTCGTTCTAAACTTACTGGCAGAGCTATTCACAATGTCACTAAATCCGATTTGTCGTTCTAATATAAAACACATTTCAGAAAACGGTTTACCGGCATTTGATATAAAGCGTCTGAAGTAAATTCAGACGAACTCGTGTCATGCCGACCGTCGCACACGAAGCTCCGCTATCAACTGATGAACTATGAAAGGATTGGTTTCTATTCGACTCAGATGGCCGTCGTCTGTAAATCCTTTAAGTCGAAATTAACGTGAATTATGAACGCGTCAACAAGAAAGGAAACGCTGATTCACCAGCCCCCAGTTCACTTCCAAGTCAAACGCAGGGAGAAGACACTCAACGGCTACCCCCAAGCGACTCGTGCACTTGAAACGGACAGCCCGAGCTATTGTTGCTTATGCCTGCTAAAATGATTAAGTACTATATGTACAGTACATACAAAACTGCCTATTTCATTATCATAATTAGGTCTAGGGGGCGGGCTTTGAATATTGGCGCGCATCGATTTTCAATCGCCTCACATGCCAATGTACTTGAGCAAAACTGATAATCGATCACTTTTAAGCATGCCATTCCAAAGTAATTAAGAAGTTATGATATCTACGTTGAATCCCAACTTTTTAATTTGTGCTCATAAATTATCATTAATGTTTAGGCCTATTGCACACTGTTTAAAAAAAAACAAAACAAAAAAAAAACAAACCGTCATAGCGAACTGTTATCGTCACAATGATTTTTCGTGAGATGTCATGTTTTTTCTAGTTTCCCAATTAGTCTTATATTGAGTGCCTTGAATGTGTCTGTTCTGTTTAAAACTAAAGCAAGGGGCATGAAATATATCATCATATTTTACTGCATGATTCAGTATTATACAAGGCCTAGCACACTACTTAAACGACCCAAGTTTTCATACTTTTTAATGTTCGATTAAGTGAATGAACGAATAATTAATTGATAACTGAATGTACGACTTAATTAATTCAATTTGATAACTGCCAGAACTCTTGTGATAACCCACACATGGTCGACGTAAAAATTATAAAGCATTGAAAACAATCTGTTGATCATTTAAAAGGATGAAATCGAGGTGATTGCAATACAAAAAAGCTAAGCCTAATAGGGCTAAGGCACAAAGATAGATATTGAAGAATTAAAGATGTATTGTCCCCTAGAAGACAAAAAATCATAAACGAACATTTTGAAACTAACTTGCTCATTATTTTTTGCAGTAACATAAAAATTATTAGCTTGAGCATAGAAATTATTGAATTAAAACAAAATGTATAGGCATACCCATATTTTTATGCTGGAAAATTATAATAAAAACAATAAAACACTTCCAGTGACTGGAAGTTAACATTTTTCGGTGTAAAATGATGGGTAAATATTTTTTAAATACACTAATTTCTATGTTCAAGTTGATAATTGATGTTGCTTCAAAATGAGCGAGTTAATTTCAAAAACGATTTTTATTTGTTTATTTATTAATTTATTGTATTTTGTATGGACAATGATAATAATAATAATAATAACGATTTATAATGCACACATCTCCACCAATGGTGCTCAATGCGCAGTGTCAATTTCACCACAAAATAACAAAATCCACATTAATTCCCAGAAGAATTTAGAGCATAATCTGTATACCAATTTTCCCATCGAGACAGTGTTGACACCCCCCCCCCATATAAGTATGCGCAGATACTCATAAGGCAAACAATACATTTATAATGAATGTGTTTTCTTAAACACGAATGTATACCACCGGAAACAATTTTCTGGTGGGAAAAATAAGTACCTCATCAATTCTCAATTGAAGGGATAATTTTCAATAAAAATTATAAAACACTTCCTGTGACTGGAAGATTTTAACGTTTTTCGTTGCAAATGGGTATGGCCTAAACATTTTTTAAATACACTAATTTCTATGTTCAAGTTGATAATTTTTATGTTACTTCCAAATGAGCGAGTAAATTTCAAAAAAGGTTTTTCTTTTTGTATTTTGCATGGGACAATAGATAATTAATGAATGTGTTTTCCTGAACACGAATGTTTACCACCGAAAACAACATTTTCTGATGGGAAAAATAAGTACCTCATTAATTCTCAATCAAAGGGATAAACTATGTTATTAACTTCCAATGAAACACAGATCAAACAAATTGAGTTTCATTCCAATTTAAGGGTCTTTGCAAAATAATATACGAACTGTATTACGTCTGTCAATAAACCTTTCCGTTAAGCCCCGTTTTTGGATGGTGCCAAGGCCCCCCAAAAAGAGAGCGTACAAACGTACGTAACCATGTGCGCTTATGAGACACACGTGTGCTTGTTGGACAAGCGTGTAATCTTGTTCTGATTGGTCAGTTCAGTTTGATTGACACAGCGGAAAAATCCATTGAAAGGTAATAATTTATTACAGGCCTGTTAAACAAAGTAATTAAAACATTAAATCATATTTGAAAGTTTAGTTTTTAAGTAAATACTGTATAAATACCACGACTAGAGAGAGCAGCTTAGCTCAGTCGGCTAATCTGGTGGTAGCCGCTCTGTGTGCGCTGAACCGTGGAGATCTCTAGGTCCCCGGTGCAATTCCTATCGCTGCATCTCCTTGTGTTTCAGCTAGAGGGCTGAAATACAAGTTACAATAGCGCACCGTCTTTTGGATGAGACGTTTAAGCCGTTGGCCCCGTGTGCATTATGGCCCATGTGTATGTTAAAGAACGCAGTACACTCTTCGGAAAAGAGTAGGGGATTGTCTCCCGGTGTACTGCCCAATCACCACCAGAAGTTTACACCGAATAAATCCAATCCAATAAAACATTGCACAGACAATAGTTTAATTATACTGTATATGCAGGTAAAAAATCGCATAGGCACTTAATCCGTACGGACGATGCATTTGCATTTGCGAGGATGATTGCAGGTGGCATAGAGTTACTCGATCCTTTTGTCCCAATAAAAAAACCACGACTTGACGAATACAAAGCTAAAACATATGCCTTCATTAAATTATTTCATTCTGCAGTCTAATATGTAATTTTTTCATTCTTGTTTTGTTTGTATAGTCATAGTACGGTATAAATTTGTGATATGCCGCATACATAACCTATTTTTTGTGCAATAAAAGACATCACCAAATTAGTTATTCACAATCTATTCAGAGGACATTAAATTTGCATTATGACCAGATGACACTTGAAAAGTGTCATTAAGTGTCATTAAAAATGTAAACATCAGTAGTCAAATTGACTATGACGCAATTACGGAATAGCAACATTTAAAGATGAGTTTGATGTCCGCATTTTTTTGTAAAATTATCTGCAAGTTTAAAAGTTAACAACGAATGCCTTTAAACTCCATCATTCCTATCTCGTAAAATGACGATACAGTGAAGGTAATAAACCGCAATCTCAGAAAACGGGTTAATGTTCAAAGAACAGTACAAGTCCTAATAAAATAAAACGCAATAGGCCTAGAGAAAATGAATGATAAAAGGAAGTCAATTCTATCATCTATAAATGATAGATTGAAATTTTACTGCATTTTATAAAGTGCATATTAATGCATGCACTGCGTGTCGTGGAAACTGTGTTTTCAAAAACTAAATACGGTGTTCAAATGTCATGAGTTTCCAATGTGAGTGGTTACAACAGCATTGGGTGGTTTTCTTCACTGACAGAGAGAAGAAAGAAAACGCAGCTTTCCTTCTAATTCGAGACCCCTCTAATTTCAAGGCCCCTCTACTTTGAAACCACTTTCTTAAAGTACCAAGTAACAAATTCTTCAATCATTCAACGTAGAACTAACCCTCTGAGAGAAGACTGAACCCCGAGACCACTCCGAATTTTCAGGTCCCACAGGTCATCTCGAAAATGAGGATGAAATGTACTCAGTGTTGGTGATGTGATACAATTGAGAGGATGTGAATGGAAACATAGGTAGAAGTAAACAACAGCAGAAATTGAATGGTATAAAATGAAATATGGACATTCAACAACATCAGATACGACGACGAAACAATATTAATATAGGTCTACCTCCAATTAAAGACCATCTCCAATTAAAGACCAAATTAATAAATGTCTTTTATTTTTATTGTTCTAATTAGAGACCAAAGCTGCTAAAGACCGTGGAAAGCCTGGTTCCAAAAAGTGGTCTTTAATTAGAGGGAGACCTATAATAGTAAATATTGAGATAATAAAAAAAGATATAAGAAAATATGAAAATGCATAATAGAACAAAGCAATAACAAAATAACAAATACAAATAATAAAATGACAACAAACTAAAGATAAATTATTAAAAAAACTACTAAAACGAAATTCGAACAAACCTAGTAGATTAACACAACAAGGTTTTTACAGGCTACAGCATGTGCATTTTAATAGAATTCCAATTTAAAACAATCAATAACATAATAACATTTTAACACAAAGATTGCTTACGTATCTTACCATGAAGGTACAATATCTTAATTTTAAAATACCTAATAAAAACAGAAACTAAACAGAAGATTTCTCTCTAGCAAAACAGTTGTCCTATTGCGTGCCACTTAACAGTCAATAACAGCGATGTTATTTTCAAAACAATTTAAATATTTCATATTACTTCTCTTAACAGAATCTGCTCCATTCCCAGGTAAGTATTCAAAACCATGCAGAATAACTCAGCATATATTTATAACACCAGCTTTCTACCAAGTACCAATTTATGCTGTAGCGTGAAGGGAGACGAGAGCGTGCCTTGGCCAACGCCACAAAGAGCGTGATAAAATTGCTACCGGCTTAGGATTTCAACCCATAATCAGCAGTAGTGTATCTATGGAAAAGTGGGATGGGGATCATTCCCCGAAAAAATTTTGTGGCCCAATACAAATCTGATAATAAAAAAAATAATAAAAATAAGCTCTCAATACAGCGGCTGGCACTCCTTCACTTTCCCATCGCACAACAGAGCCCCTCCCACCCACCATGTGTCTAATTTTAGATAAGACCATGGATCCTGGAACTGTAGACTATCATTACCACAAAAGTCATACAGATCAGTGTAAGATTTGAACCTAGATTTTTGATAAGAGACAAAAAGCCTGATTATTATGTCATATACTTGTACTCCCCATAGTACTGTAAATGGTTTTTTAGGAAAGCTTTCTCAGAGACTGATTTAAAAATCAATTTAGAAAACGCAAACTGTGACAAATACAGGATTCTGACCTAGATTCCTGGATTTGAAACCAAAATCTGTAACGCTATGCTGCATACCTTCAAACTAAATAGGGGTTAAGTGAGACACCATAATTTGAGATTTAAAAAGAAATTTCTAATTTTTTTACCTCCTTTAACCTAGGGGAGGGGTCAAAATGATTTAATGATGCTTGTGTTGTACTTTTACAGTAGAAAAGATGTGAGCCTCTACTGTTCAGCAACCTTCAAAATAGTTAATGTTATGCAAATTTATTCATTTTTCTTATACCTTTCTATCTTTTTATATTATGACAATTTTTGAAATTTTCTACCATATAATTATAATATATTTTTCTCCAAATATTAATTTATGTTGATTATATGCCTTATTTATTAACATTCATATTTATGGCATAAGCAATTTATTCCTTTTACTTGGATGATGTCCAGAGACCCACTTCAGGAAAAAATACAAACATCCAGAATGATTCACTCTATGATTGGCTGCGATAAGGCACTTGGCCTCACTTAACGCATGCGCAATGATCCACTCAAGAGTTCTGCTTTATTATACCACTAACAGATATCTTAATCCGACTGCATCGTTGAGCGAGAGGCATGGGACTTGGAATCGTTAATAAACACATGTTCGAAATCATAATAAGAATCTGACCTTGAGAAATACAGCTGTAATAATATCAATATTTACCATAATCCAAAACCTGCGTTACAAAATAAAAAATTAATGCCTGCAGGAATAATCTTCATCGATTGGCCATTAAACATATTTTTTGAAATGTTTTTTTATAAACAGTTACATGCGAACAAACTGTGCACAAAAATATTGATAGATTGAGGAAACATGTTGTACAGACTTAATCACATGACTGATGATTATAATCAGGTTAAGAGATATTTAAAACATTCGAGAGAAGATGGCATCAATGTAATACTGTATTATCCACTTCATCCTTAGGAGGTGGTTGCTTAGCAACCTTTCGTAATTGCCGCATGCAATCTTCCAGTTTTCCAGATGGAATTGAATCTAATGCTCTGGATACAATCTAGAAGAGCGGAAGAAAATACAACATGATGTTAGATGATTGCTTTATTATTATTTTTGTATGACAATGTATTTTTTCATCAAAAGATTTCACATCTTGCACAAATTAATTATGATGATGACTCATAGTCGATGGCAATTATGATGACGACGACTAAATTTTGAATCTATTTATGATGATTACAATTAATGATGCCTGCAGTGATAATTAAGATGATAATGATTACGATTAAATGATTATAATTATAATGATGGTGATGACTACAGTGATAATTAAATTGATACTGATAATACAATGATGATAATGATTAAAATGATGATGGTGGTGATGAAGAATATAATAATGATGATTACAATAATTATTACAATGCTGGTATTGATTACAATGACGATAACAATAATTATAATTCAGAACATCATTTAAACACAAAAATAATTCTTGTATTCAAAAGGAATTGAACCCAAGATTCTTAGATTGTAAGGCAAACACCTTAACCGCTATACCGTAACTGTGTTACAAGTTAAACCTTACTCATGCTATTACTATCGAAGACACAGCAACAGCGGCATACATTTTCATGATTAAATTAATAAATTAAGTTTAAATTTCATTCACGGATCTATATTAGTTTTGTTCTTTATTCAGAGTCAGAATAATGACATTGCAATGTTCATGATCGTTGTCAAGGTTACGACAACAAAGAACTTATAATAGAACATTGCCATATAAAACCGTTACAAGGCTGCTGATCGTTTCTGACATAATTACATTAAGTTATCTAAATTCTGCTACATTAAAACCCAGAAGCAAATTGAGTTTTTACAAAGAAAAAAACGATTCCTTCAAAAGAGATATAGTACAGGTACTGCAGTATAATAAAACACTGTATGATAAACATTGTAATAAGATATGCAGGACATTCTTATCATCTAAAAACAGACACAACTAAAATACTAAAAAAAAAACAAAAAAAAAACAAAAAAACCTCTTATTTTAAAAATCTACAGATTTAAACTTAACAATTTCTCATAATTTTGAAAGCTCCGATGAGGGCAGTATAATAGAGGCAGTAGAGTATATTGGCCCTAACGGCCGCCCATACAAAAAAGATCTATTAATCAATCAGCAGAGTGTTTCTATAGCTCCTTATCGGAGCTAAATAGACACGAAAGTTACAAGTCAGAAAAGAACAAACACATTCAGAAAGAAACTGACTGTGTAGCAAATGCATTATGAGAAAATATCTAGTTTAAACAATGACTACAGACAGGTCTAATCAATCAGTAATCGATGCAAGCATATTTTCTCTATGATGCAAGACATAGAGCATGTGTAGGGCCTGAAATGACAGATGGCTTATGTATATAGGCCTTAAGTTACATTTACACTAGATATGATAATAACACAACAATGATATATCATCACGTTGTTTATATTCTTCAACACTGAGTGCATTTAACATGTCGTTGTTGTGTTGTTATTGTTAGCACAACTAGCCAGATGTCGAGACTGGGCGATTAACGTAACTATTCACGCAAAATATTGGTATTCGTAATCACACATTTTATTTCCAGTTTACATCTAGGCTTAATTGTGGTTAGTCAATTCCTGGCCGAGGTCAAAAACATTGATGCATGACTGTCGTAACTCAATAGCGTACGCTAATCTGGGGTCTGTTGGTGGATTATCGTATGCCAGAGATTGCGCGTTAAGTTCACAGCACTCGAATAATGTTACACTAGTGTAAACTCGTGCCTGAACATAACCTTATACTCAATGTAAAGATAGGTGGCTTTTACTTGTGGCCAGTGTTGCCATGGGATCAATCACCGTGGCACCAATCACTGTGGTGATGTATTAACAAACTAAGCGTTGAAAGCTACATTACTTGGTAAGTCTCATCTCCCAGCCTGAGCCTGAGGAGCGAGACCAGTGCTATCTCGCTGTCGGCCTGGACCGCTGTGTTCTTATCCTTTGTGTTGCTGACAAGGACCAACACCAGCGGCTTAATTATGCTGATATCAAGCGGGTGGTCTGTCTCGTTTGCGATGTATGATATCATCTGAGCCGCCGTCATCTTCATGTCATTTGAACTGTGATTCAAACTCTGGAAATGGAAAATTAACATAAAGTATAATAATAAAGTAAACAATAAACTCTAGTCGAAGAAATAAAATTTATATGCAACATTATTTATCTGCATTACTATATTAGCTCTACCACAATTCTATAGTGGCATTGATCTCCGTTTTCCCAAAAATTGAGATATTGTATTAATTCTTTATAATAATAATAAATAATAACAATAAAAATATTTTTAATAATGATTATACTATAGCAATAACAATATTTGAATAACAACAGCAACATAATGATATACTTTACAATTTTTTCTGTTTTTAAGGGTTGAAACAATTAAATAGCTTTTAAAAGGGCCCTCTGACCATTAGCTACTTTCTCGGGATCTTTCCCACTAAAAGTAAACAGCTACCATAATGAGCCAAAAGTAGTGAGTTAATTTTCAATGAAAATTATTAAGCATTTTAAGATTGTCCTGTTAAACCCGAAGTGGATTTATATCCCAGTCAGTCAATATATGATATTATAATTGGTAGAATATAATATCATATATTGACTGACTGGGATATATATGATATTATAATTGGTAGATTAAGTAAGTTGTTAGATTATTGTAATACTATAAGACACATCCTTTAGGCTGTTCTACAGAAGCAAATGATATTTTCAGCTCCCTTCATCACACATCAAGCATTTTCATTGCACCATTTGGTCATTTTCACTACATGTCTACTGCATACAAAATGTTCAACATTATTACATGGCATATGGAAAGCAGAATTATCATAAGTATATTACGAATACATAACTGTAATCTCTTACTATTTTTTTCATCTAAATAATGGTACCTGGATTTAGCTTCCTTTGTTAGCTATTGTTCCTTTTATTCGTACAGATAATACACATGTGTGCCACTTGCGTGCAAGTGCGTGTACAATATGTTTGATGAAAAATTTACACGTGTCTAAAAATTATACATACTTATTATCATTTTTATTATAAGGCATGATTTGTTTGCCCAAGCTGATATGTATAGTTCTGAATGCTCAGTACATTCCCAAATACTTGTGGAAAAAATCTTGCAAGTGATTCAGGAGGGAATCGAACCCACAACCTCCAGATAACTAGCCTGGTGTCTTAACCACTAGACCACCGAGCTTGCGCTTAGTGGCCAATGTTGAATCTAATCCCCAAGTAGCGGAGGGTACCGCAATGCTATTCTGATGGTGTTTGATGCAAACACCCATTGGAATATTATTATTACATTATTATTATTATAATTATTATTATTTCCAAGTTTCTTAATATGTCACATATATCACAAGACCACATTAAATTTCTTATTATAAGCACGATTTGTTCTTCATTAAATGACCTTATCCACATGAGTGTTAACTGCATCACATGAATCATGGACACTCAGATGCGTTTATTCATCATTAACCTTTCCAAATAAAACCATGTGCTTTAATTTGTTTCATTTTAACTACTGTGCTTCATGATTCATGTTGAGCTGTCCCATACGGAAATAACACCAAGAGACAGACCTGGGAAAGTTCATGCGATTACTCGTGCAATATTAACAAATTTAAAAAAACATTCTAAAAAAATAACTTCTAAAATAGCCCAGCATTACATTACATGACTAATTTATGAATGTTTAAAATGACCTATATTCTACTGTCTCTAAAACGCTTTTATATTTGACATTCAAACTGAGGCTACGTAAAGGTGATATCGATAATCGCAAAACAAAGTGGTCAAACAATGATGAGAACAACAAATTGGATTAAGTAAAGAAAGCGAAAGTTCCCAAGATAAAAATCGTCTTTGCAATCGTCTTCAGTTCGCGCGTCCCAATCGGTTTCCTGGATCAGGTCATGGATGATAAGCACATGTTAATTAATTACGTTCATGTGTGTAAACTTTGCCCTCTTTGTTGTTTGCATCTTCAAAAATAATTAGATTTTTTTTCAGTAATGTGAACTTACCTTAGTTAATATTTACTATCTGGTGAAAACTATAATCTAAATGTTTAGTTATCAAATTCAAATAAATGAGTTAAAGACTGCAACAATTTATTTTTCACAGATTTACACAGCTTTCACTACAAAAATTCTTAAAAAAAAACTCACAAAAATATTTTTTTCTAGAGGGGATTTTTGATTGTCATTAGTGATAGAATCAACTTTAAAATTGTTTTTTGGCAATTTTTTTTATGAAGTTATAGGCCATTATGATTTTGCCCGTTTAGCAGCATGAAGTCAGTGTAAGCTACTGTAACCAAAAAATCGTATAGCGGAGCTATATGCTGTGCTATACGATCGATGAATATTTTCTTGTCCAGTTTATCCTTGAATTTTATTTTTAACAGGTTTTTCTCAAATACATCTGGGTTATTATTCTAATATAAATACATTCCTTTGATTATTAGATGATACAAAACTTTAAGCATACATATGAAAACGGTTATAAGATAATAATGATTACCAAGAGAGCCGACTTCTAGACAGCAGTACAATTAAGTTGGGAAGGGGAGTAGAGAGGTGGGAAGGGTACATGCATCTCAGAGAAAGTTTGCATGCCCAGGTAACCACTAAGAAATTACCGATAAAGATATTACAATCAAGTGGTTACAGATCACATAACATTAACTAATGCATCTCCCTTTCCCATCAGGCCCCAGCTAAATCTCCCACCTTATGTAAATACTCCCTACAAAGCTATCAGCTCTCAACAGTACTAATCATTGATATCTTGAAATATTAGGAAAATTTCTTTTTCAGTCCCATCTCATCTCATTAGCCCCTCTCAGATAGGTGCTGTCGCAATATTGCGGTAAGCATGCTGGCATAATAACCGGCCTATACCCTTTTACACAGCCTTTGTTACTTCAATATTGCAGTAATCCTATGCTTTTCTGTCTGAAAGGGTCTTATAGAATGGCGTAATATTCACGGTTTAAAAACCATAATGTGTAATTGTTTTCAAATTTAACCTTGTTTGCTTATGAATAAATGCACACGCCAGCTTGATTGCCGCAATATCGAGTAAACCTTTGAGACAGAGCAAGCAAGTAACCGTTACCGCAATATTTCGGCAATATTGCTAGGGTGCAAATTGGCCCAAAGTAAGCCAGCATATTGGCGTATCGACACTTTCAGACAGAAACCCAGGCCGGCGTGCTTACTGCAATGTTGCGGTATTGCAGCTCGGTCTATTGATTCTTCTTCTGGCAATTATTTACAAAGAATATTAACATAAAAATTTGAACCTCATGAAATTATCTGAATATCAAATACAGAAATATTAGTATGGATAGATACACATTCTGTATTTCTATTTCAAGAAAAATATTAATATTCTATCACCAAAATATAAGCTCATGGAGGATGTTGCAATACATATTGAAATTTATTATATTATAAGAATTAAGTTATATGCAAACGATTTTAATTGCAAGTGAGATAATCGAATAAACTAATTTTAATTAAAAATTCAATTTGAATGTGCTATCAAGATTATTAAACTATAAACATTTATATTCCATATCATCCTATATATTTTTTTTATTATGTAATTAGTTCTTACACATATTTTACATGTAACAATATGTTGTTCTTCACACATTGGATGTATAACAAAAAACAACAAAATGAAATAAAGGAACAAAGGCTATGACAATTAAAATTACTGATAGTATCCAATTTTATTATGAAAATTAAGTTGCATTAGCAGAAAAACATATTTATGGTTATGCATTTGTCTGTAAATTTTTTTATGTACCCTGTCTTTTGTAAAAGTTAACAATAAAATAATACAAAATATATTTAAATTCTCTATTGTATTGTGTTGGTGTTGTCTAGTTGATGTGAGTGATTGACAAGAGATTGTTAAATATTAGGCAAGCCAACTGTTGCAGAAAGTTTACTAATATCTGGTTGGGATATAGAGAAGGAAGTGTACACTACAATATATCCGTTGGGATATTAGGGAAGCTAAAAGCAGGCATCTGATTCGGATACAGAAACAAGAGCTGTGGCTTAGAAGTAAAGCTGCTCTATAGACTTTGTGGCGCTATAGCTTGGGCGTAAATAAACTTGCTTTCCAATCCTGGTTCCTGGGTTCAAATCATGTCAAGTGACCACCCGTTAAACCTCACAACCAGACTTACTTCATGCGTACATGTTTATACTGGTGCGATTTAAGGAAGAGACAAACACAATACATCTGGATGGAATCATGGATGGAAGGATGGAAGGTGTACACTACATCTGGTTGCAATATGTAGGAAAACAAAAGATAAAAATGCAGTATATAGAAAATGAAGTATTACACTGCACCTGGTTATGAAGTAGGAAAGATAGTAAAATGGTATATATTATGCTGTTCATATATTGTGTGAATGAACTTAACATTAATATCTTCCTACTTTTCTAAATAGTCAATGTCATACTCGTCAAGTTTAAAAAAAAGAAATACATTCAATGAAATTGTACTTCAATTTAATTGGAAATTATTATTAATACAGCCAGTTGGTATGGATCCAAATGTATAAAGCTGTACATATATAAACCTTATAATCTAATTTCTTGTTTATGCGATTCTATCTAAAACCTTTTGAATTTCTTCATGCAATGTTTGGTAAAATCTGAACTTAATCAGGAGACTAGTAATTATGTCATTATAGAAATTTAAACGATGGTTATATATCCGGCAAGCTTTTTATTTTGGATTTTTTAATTCTATTAAGTCTATATTTATTAAAATTGAAGAGTTATGATAAGGCCAAAAAAAATTATTTGTTTACCCTGATCCACCCACTTATAATTCACTGAATAAAAATAGGGTTGGAAAAAGATGCCAGATGCCCAACCAATTAGTCTAAAGTTGTTGTCTTGTGCACTCAAGGTATCTAATATTTATAAGCTCTCTCACTCAAGGAAAATAACCTCACACATAAATGTACTATTGTAAACAAAAAAAAAATATTTGTAGGTCTATTGGAGCTTCCTCACCAAATATGCA